ATTGTTTGGTAACTATTTGCTGCAAATGCAACAAAAATCAATATAAAAATATTACCCACACAGCTTCTACAGGTTACTTGTTGATGTATTGAAGTTGAGAAAGGTAAAATATATGGCAGAAAGTGTAAGTGTGTGGCAGGGCGAGTATAATATTCGCTGCATATATAAACAGATGAGAGATAATTCTTTTCATGTCGTACAAATGTAGATTATCTTAATCTGACGTTCCACATAATTACCACATTCGTTTAAGATAATCAAATAGAGTAGCGATATATACTTAAATAAAACATAAACAGTTTAACAATTGCTAATATATGTACCATATCTTTGTTTAGTTTTTCTCATTATAGAATAATCCTATGTCATTATGTATGAAAATAAAATTAATTGTTTTCACTAAACTGTAATCTTAAACACTTGTTTTAATGAATTGTATGTTTAATTTGGTTTTTTACACTCTTTTGTCTGTTTTTAACGTTAGGCTGGGACAAGCCTGCACTCATCTAGCTGCATTGATGTTTGCGTTAGTGGATTTTTTTGAGGGAGGGTACAACATTCTTTCAATTGCTCCGACTAGAATAGAGATATTATGTCAGTCGACTGCAACAAAAAACAACAAAGTGGTGCCAGAACCAATGTCTGAAGTAACAGTATATAAGCCACAATATGTAAAGAAACTTAAATCATGTGCAGATCCTAGAAATATCAATAAAAAGAAGAAGGTACAAGAAATGAGGAGAAATACTCTTGAATTTTGAATTTGAGAGATAAACTTTTGAATTGTCAAATATACTTAAGAGACGAGAGTCCATGTCCTGCCGTGCTACAGAAGCAGGTTTGATGGCCAATAAAGCCATTGATAAATTAAAGTATCTTTTTTTCACACCACGTGCAAAACTAAAGTCTTCCCTAAAACCAGTTTGCACCTGTGAAAGAAGAGCAGAAGCGTCTCATAGCAATAGCATGTCCAGTAGACACAGATGATGATGATGACTATGATAGAAAAGTAACTGAAGACAAAGTATTATTTGATGGAGTGACGGTGTTTAAACATGATTTTAGTGGATCTGAAATCCGGGAGGAAATAGTTGAGCAACTGAGATTGAAATGTAATTCATTTACATATTTTTCTTGTGTTGTTTTTCCTTCACACGTGTAATTACGTACTATTGATGGACACCCAAACTTAGATGGTAAAGATATCACCAAAGTATATCCCACGGGCAGTATATATGTGCAACTACAGAAGAACTTCAGGGTTTTCAGCGTGAGGAAACATATACCAGTAGTTTTTATAATATATCTCTGTATAAATTAATGTACAGAATTTTCTGTGTGTTTTTCCAGATGAACAGCAATGAGGAAAAAACAACCTGTTAAAAAAATTAATGAAGAGCGGATAAATGAGATACTGATTAGTGTTATATTGGTTTGACCTAATTAATATGTATCAGTATGCTATTATAGGTTAGTAGCATCTAAGATGTAAGAATTCTAATTACTGTTACACTGTAATTTCTTTTGCTCATGTTTATTGGATGTTTATGTTTGTACAGATAAAACCCACATAGTCAGTCTAAACATCTACTATCTACCCATCTACACCTGGTTCGTCCTGTATTGTCTTATGATAGTCTTGATATTCCTGCCTTGCAACATATCCATGGTCAGTTCCCCATCTATAATATAATATAAATGTTTATTTTAATTGAATGTGAATGTTAAAAACAGCATAAAACATGTTAATACTTTGTTGCACTGCTGGAGAACCTGTGCTGTTCTGGATAACATACTGAGTGTATACTGTTATTGGCTTGCTTTCTTGACTCGAATTCCACAGTCCTGCAATCATTCTCTTCTAGATGTATAATACAAGTCTACGTGTGATAAATCAAAATACTCATCAAATTAGTCCATCAGTGTTGTGGGTAAGTTAATACTGACAGTCTTCGGTATGTAGACGGTAAGGTACCCTGGTACAAAACTTAAGACATTGTGGTCGTACCCCTGCTTTAGAAATTTTTTTCAAAAAAATCTGCTGCTTTGTTCTGAAACATGTTGAATTCGTTGATGTGTTTTTTTCTCTTTGTGTTGATTCTTTAATACATCATCACCTTTTAAAACAGCATCCATTTTTTTTCTTTTTAATCGTTGCTGAAACAAAATCTATGATTATTCAAAGTGTTGAGACAATCTGTAAATAACATGAAATGCAGAATAATTTAAATGGAGAATATTTAATCTGTAAAAATAACTGAAGCAGTGTTCGAAATTAACGTCGGTCCGTCGGCCTCACGCCGACAGTGGGTGTAAAGGGCCTAGAGCTGTGAAAAACCATCAGTCCTTGTGACCGACCATAAATTTATATTTAAAAAAAAAATGTTCCATTATTTAGTATGATTGTAAGACCAAATGTATAATAAATATCGATAGTAACTCCAGATTTGTTTCAAAATTGCGTTTTCTTCACGTTTGACCAACAAATGGCATCACTCATCGACCTGGGCATACGAGTCATAATTCAAGCTTGCCGAATGATAGCGAAATGCGCCGAACGTGGGAACTGTAACAAACGATCTGATTGGATGTAGGCCGATCAAGCCTCCGATTCAAACCAATAGAAATCGCGCTTACATTTTAAGTTCCGCCATCTTTGATTTGCAGCAAACACGCTGAAAACTACACAAGAACGGCGTGACAAATGGTCTCGGCGTAAACCACGCACATTCCAAATTAGCTGGCAGTCGGAGTTTCAAGACTGGTTACTTTTTGATAACAACAACAAGGTGATGTATTGCCGGCCTTGTCGAGGATCGTGCAGCAGAATTGATCCTTGTAGAAGCTGAGGCTGACACCAATGATTGTGAACATGATGCAAAATGCATGTCAGATTCAGAGTCGGCCAGTGATCATGTCAGTGTTTTTTCTGAAGATTTTGATGAGTTTAGTGACGATGAAAGAAATGATGACCTCTTTGAGGCAGCAGATAATACATCTGATTAATTAGTAAATAAAGGTTTTGCAATTGCAAGCTTGTATTATCCGTTTAGTCAGGGCCTACAGTTAGCTCGAAGGACCTACAGTTTCAATTTGACATAGATCCTTCGGGCCTTTTATGATTTTCAGTTAATTTTGAACACTGAACTGAAGAATTTAGTTTATTTTGTTGAGTTCTTAAATGTTTATCACTGTGCACACACTGAATAGAACTTCAAGATTAATATTTACCTTGTTTTGATAAAATGCCCTTCATTTTGCCTTTTCTTCTGTGCGTGTCACTGACTTACATAACTTGACCTCTGCTTCAATAGCATACAGCATTGCTTCAACATGGGAACATGATTCACATAACCTGAAAATATAGAAATTAATTTTTAACACTTTGGCATTGCTTATCCACCCACGCTCCTTTCATCACTAAACCATCCACACACTCGCCTATCTTTAAATCATCCCATCAATCCAGTTATTTATTTATTCATCTTCCCTTCTCCACTTTTTTCATTGAAATTGACAGACACTCATTTCTGTCTTGTGTCCATGTGTTTATTTCTATGTCTGGCGCGTTACTCACACCACTTCTAAGTGTGGAATATTTTACAATAGAAGTTCTCACCTACATTTTATGAACCAGGAAACTCACTATTTATGAAATTACAAATAACACAACACAAACATTAAAATCCATGTTATCACTTACCCTGTCATGTAGTTAGAGAGAGAGTGATTTGCCTACAAAGCAATAACGTGTCAATTAGTATCATTAATTCAATGCATGCAACGATAAGTTTTTCTATAAATACCAGAGTACGTAATTTATAAAATTTAAATATGTATATATACTTTGTTTTGGCTGTATGAAGTGACAGCCAAGTTTTATTGCAAAGTCAGCTTGGACGTTCAGTTGTGAGACATGAAAAAATAAACGGTGCCAGCGTCAGATTTCGAGTATGAAAGAACAGAATAAACGCAATCAAAGGCACGCTGCATTCGAAGTACTGATAATTGCTACATTCGAAGACGTGGGAATCAGAAGACAATTTTTGGCACGTACCAATGTTGACTTTTTTGGACCGTCTTTAAATATACAGGAGTCGTTCCAATAACAAAAATTTTAAAATTTGTCGATTAGCACATTACTTTATTAGAATAGAACATTTCCAGTGTTCACCAGGAAACTATGTTGATACGTCTCATCCAAACGACCTGCCTACTTGAAAATCGCCCTTGCGTTTCCAAGCGAAAAAACATCGAGCCTGGCCACAGTGCTTTTATCACGATAGAGGGACTGTGGCCTGGCCAAAAACGAATGATTTTCGTTACATTACATAGTAGACGTCGGGCCGACGCAGGAGTGCTGCTGTTGTCACCACTCACTGTTTGCCACCTCGTTGACACGTTCGACAATATCAATTGTAACACAAAAGTATTTTTTAATTTGTGATTATTTTAGAATTTTGTCAAATGTCAAGCATCTTCTACCACAGATCGAATCACTGCAAGCGCATATTAGTCTTCTGGGTCGAGTTACTGTGTGTCAATTTGGTGCGATGTAAAATTGTTGACTGCCGGAATCAGGCATCCAGACAACGACTTTTTATGTCTGTTTTGGGAAGACGAAACCTTTCGAGTTATTCCAAGTGTTGATGTAGCGGAAGGTCATCCTGCTAAATTTGGTGATAATTCACTCTGCATAAAGGTCTTCTTTCTTATACTATATGGTACAGATTGCTAACATCCGGGAGGCTGCTTGTTCAAGCTTCTGTGGGATCTCGCGTTATACCTATTGTTCAAGGCTACCGCTGTTATATCTCGGCGGCTAGCTGCTGAAAGTAGAGGGCGCTGTGATACAAGTAAGTGCACCAGTAGCTCCGAGTACAGTCCTGTAGCTTGGCCTCCTTTCGCTGATCATTCGGCCCCCACAGTCCCGAGAAGTCGCATAGAGCGGGGATTCAACACTATTGTGAAGGAATGTATCGGCCGATTTAAGAAGCATTCAGCTTTGCAGTTAAAAAACATAAGCAGGTCGTCATGTCTAATTATTCTAAATACCTTAACTGGAAGCGAAATTACATAAGATTTCCCACTAGGGTTGATCAAATCAACATTTACCAACGTCAACCAAAAGTATACGCCGCCATCTTGTTCTTGACGTACAACAAAACGTTGTTTCGTTGCGTAAAACTAGCTTTCACCAACGCTAGATTTGGTTGCTAGATGTTTTAGCTGGTTACAATCAACTACAGAACGGTTCTCCGCCATAAATTTGTAGGCGGGTGTCGAATCCTCGGTCTATGCGACTTCTCAGGACTGTGGGGGCCGAATGGACTGGAGCTCCAACTAAATGTGAAATGTTTTCAACATTTTAGGACATTTGTTAACATTCTGACTTGATAGTCAAAAGTATTGGGGTACAGTTTTGCTGGTTGTACTTATCATCCATGCCTTTTGTTATACAGTGACACATTCTGTTACATAACTCAAGCACATTGTTCAGACCGCATATTTATGTATGCTAATTGCTGCGTTTCAAGATATTGCAGAAAAGGAAGATATTTTGCGTTCATAAAACAAATATGCAGAAGTAATAAACAATACATTCAGCGATCGTTGGCATCGGAAGCAATACAATCAAGTTGATTACTTGTATTGTGTGCGGAAAAGAACTCGATATTCAAAGCGATATTTTCTCCTGGACGATTCCTAAAAGATTTTAAACTTGCATGGGCTCCTTGAAAACGGGATGTTAAGGTGGTAAATTTTGAAAGTTTTCGCATGTTAGTGATGTTACAGTTGAGCTCTACATTTTTTTATGATAGTCTTTTTGATCAATGTTTTGGAGGAAACTTAACAGTCATATCACATATACTGCAACATGGCAAATCATGTACCATAGAGTGTACTTGACAATTAAATATTTCATTTCACAGTAATTATATATTTTATAACTACTTTAATTTTTTTAAAAAGTAAATTGATAACATATTTACAGCCTGTAGTTTTCATGAATACACATTACTTGCAGTATATTGTACTGTGGTCTAAATTAGCATAACCTTCAAAATAAACTTCTCTGTTTTATTTTATTTTATAGTTATATTTTATGGATTATTTTTCAACAGAAAGAAAAGTTAAGGTCATTATTTAGGTTTTGTTGGAACCAAAAAGAATACCTAATGACAGGTTACCAATTCCAAAAGAAAAATAGTCCAAGACGATCAACGCTACATTGGTCATCAATAAAAAATGTTCTGTCTTTCCACCATAAAGCTTGTGACCTGAAGCTCAACAGGTTTCGAAACAAAACAAGCCTGCAGAATTAAGACATCATTCAATTTCAATCTTTATCAGCACACAGAAGAATGTTTACTTTGCGCTGCTATAAGTGACATAGCCATGCAAGCATAGTGAAAAAAAAACACACATCAGAACTTGGAGAACAGCATGGCTATAGACGAGATGTCTTTGTCTTGCAAATTTTCCAGCAGCAAAACACGTCTCCAGATTTTTGATGATGGCTCATGGTCGCTTGAAGTGTTTGGAAAGCCAGCAAATTCTTCTTGGATACATCATAAAATACGAGAAGAATTAGAGGTGTATAAATTAACTTTGAAGGTCGGTACCCTTAAAGTGTCAACAAAACATTCATATTTTTTGTATAATCATGGAGCTTCAATCAATGTATTTTCTGTACTAAATAAGCATGTAATTAATTGGACGTTTCACACTGTTTACACAGCAACACACATTGCCTATAGCAACCGCACCTAACACCAGACACCATCCATACCCATGGAGCAATCAACAGCTTTTATACAGTGGAACTAACAACATCTGTTCCCATAGAGAAACCTGCGACAACATCTACTTCTCCAAAAAAACAACAGCTTCCACATAAAGTAAAAAAAGTCTAGAACCAAAGAAGTCTGCCAAGCTTCAGTAAATAGAGAGAGAGAGGATACAGAACGCAGACTTGTGAGGAAGCTGACTGAGCTGAAACGAAGTGGTGATATAGATGTTTATTAGTTCATAAAGACGATTGACAAAAACGCAAGACTATAACGTTGAGTGGAAACCCCGGAAAACACTAAACCTGTCGAAAAACACTAAACCTGACAATAAA